GATGGAAATTGGGAACACAGTAAGATGGTCCTTTCTACAGAGCAGCACTAGGAACATCTGCTTTGTCCACCTGATATTTAGTTGTGGAATGCTATAAGTTTCTCTTGGACTTTCTGCAGCATGCAAACTTTCAGAAATTAGAGCAATGAATAATCAGGATACAAAAGATATCCAGTTTTCCTTTTCCATAATATCTCTAGTTGTTGAAACAGTGAAGGCATTTGACCCATGCCTGGAAGCAGGACAATAAAGAAACTGAAATTGACCAGACAGAGGTGCTATCACTGGACACTTTAAGTGTCCAAGGTATTGGAAGACAGCTCATTCTGGAGCACTATTATTCAGATTGGATCCTGTAGCATTATCCTGGAACACGTATATTCGCCTTCTTTCGCCTTCTTTCAATGAAGAGAGTGCATAGTTTGGAGTTAACACTGGGTCATCTTGATCACCAGCTTATTCACTCTTCTACCTAAGCATAACCAAAGGGATAGAGACACCTCTATCTATGCAAGAGCCTGGCCAATTTTTTTCTTTCCTTGTTGGATTAGCTCAGAAGTATCAATCTAAATGATGTTCTAGACAGGTTTGCACTTCAGTAAAGCATATGTATTCGAGTTCCTGAATGCAGAAATTTACTACCAACATTATTTGCTATTTACCAGACCTTTGAACATGTTTAATATAAGCTTCATTCCACTAAAAAGAAATTGGTTCTTCTTGAATTGGTAATCTGAAGATCCTCCGACTTGAATGCTCCCCAGAATATAGCTCCAAATAGATGAAAAGCATCTGATTTCTGGAGGGAGAGTAGTTCTTTGAAACTAGGTGTCCCTATGCCTATGAGAGGCCATATCCATTCTATGCATGTTTTGGTGAATGCAAATTCAGAACGTTGAAACTCCAGTGTGTACAGCTTTCCTAGCAGTAGAGGTCTACATTTTAATTTTTTCAAATAGCCTTCCAGGGCCATAGAAAATGTAGCCAGGTCCAGAGGCTTAAGTGTTGTATTGTCAAGCCTCTAGTCTAGCTGCTGCTTGTAACAACAAAACAAGCTAGATTTTTGCAATATTATTGACCAAACATATTGAAAGGGATAAGGGGGATAAAAAACCTTGGCAACTGGATAAATTACCTTTAGCACCAAGTTTATCTTTACATTGGGTGTGGATTTCTTGATCCATTTACTAACCACCTGCTGATTAATGAGAAGGTAGTTCTCCATTTCCTGACAAAGTAAAAATATGCAGAGGCTATTTTTGTTTGGTGAAAATTTCAGTGTTTTCAGTCAACAAATACTGGTAGCTCATCTCAGGGTGATGTGAGGAATTACAATATGAGAATCCACATATGACCTGTGGATCCCAGTTTACCCACACCTATTCTGTATACAAACATTCAAACATGTATACTGTTAACATTCAAACACTTCTCTTCTCTCGCTATTTTTTGTGTATTCAAGCTCAAAATCTGCATTGGAGATCTAGACTAACTCATATGTATGTAACAGCTAACATAACACATATGAAATATTCTTTTATACAACTACAGAATTCTGCACTTCCAAAAGTAGATTTTATTTCTGACAGAATTCACATATTTACAGCTTTTAATAAAATTCACTGGATTAAAGCCCAAGAACTCAGAATTTAGAGTTTTTTTCCGCATACCTAGTCCTACTTTACACATGAAAAACAAGCTGGATGACTTTGGGCCAGTCCTTCTCAGTCCAGCTCACTTCACGGAGTTATTGTTGCAGAGAAAATAAGAGGAGGGAGGAGTATTAGGTATATTCACAACCTTATTTATAAGAATAATAAAGGTGACATATAAATAAATACATTTTTTTAAAAAAACACAAAAGAAGCACAAATATTAGCACTTAGGCTAGATCCCTTGACAATGTGCTTCCTTATTATCAAAACATGTTACAAATAATAGCTAGGTTAATTGCATTGATTCTTTTTGGCAGCTTTCTAAATTTTTGTGAGTCCATGCCCTTAATGGAAGACTGGCTCAATTTTTTTTGTGGTCAGTGGCTACATGTTTTGATTTTTAAAAGTTCACAGTACACCTAGCAGTGCTGCAATGTACCGGGCAGTCTGCATACATTTTGAGGCTTTAGGGGATCCTGTCATGGGGACAAAACAACACGGGTTGTGTTCCTTTGCCGGCATTCCACACTGCTCCTGAGACAAAGAAGCCATAACCCCCAAAAAAGCCTCAAAACGGAAAACAATCCTGTAGGATTGATTATTTGCTGTAGTGATTGGATAGCAAACTATGCTGTTAATGCAGAAAACTCACGTTGAAATGATTACATTTCCAAAAAGCAATTTATATATTGCAACAAACGCATGACAGAATTAGTCGTATTTTTATTATGAAAATCGCTTCATTTATAATTACAGGTTCCACCAAAATGTATTTTTAATAAAAGAAGTTAACACACAAGCATGATTCTGATGTCCAGAAGTTATTTGTATTGAATATTATTAAATGAATTTAACCAGGGGAGTATTTCTGATATAGTAAAGAACAGCACCTGTTTTATCCAGAATGAGAGCTACCCATACAAGTCAAAGAAAAAGTGACAAGAACAATGACATAGAGTTGCTGGTAACAAGGTTTCCTTCTGTCAAATGGCATTGCAGAAATAGCAGTTCAAAATCGCATAATGATAATACTTCAATCCTAAGAGGACATCTTTAGTAAGATTGCAGTTTTATCATTCTGTAATGTGAAGTCCACCATTGTCAAGTAAACCATTCCAACTGTAGCTTATAAACTTCATTCATCAAGGCTTAGAAGAAATAAGAATTCTGTAAACATTTTTAATATTAAATTCAGTGCTGACTTTTACAATGACCAATGTTCCTTGATGTTAAATACTAAGCTCCCCTTAACACCTCCCCCCCCAAAAAAGTAAAGAAATATCAGCTCCCACATATTTAACACTTTGGAATGAGTAAATCCAACAGATCTTGATTTCGAGCAAGCACTTGTACTTCTATTTATAACTTTACAGAGAGGATTTTTTTCACAAACTATTTTTTTTAGTAAGAAGGTTGTTTGTGTCAAAAAATTTTCCCAGTGACACACAAACCTAGGCAGCTTCATTTAAAAATAATACAGTAGTTCCATAGTGCATTTCAATTCTTCAAAATCACAACATTTTCAACTTCTTCTGTGTCAAAAGCAGCACATTCCTGGATGACCTTTCTCTTTCTTGACATCCATGCAATTCTAACATTTTTTTCACAATGTAATTGCTTTCCGAATCTTATCTCTTTCTCTTTGATCTGACATCTTTGCTTTTTTTCTGACCGTAAAGCTTTAGAAATTACATCCACAGAATGACGGCTATTTTCATTTGAAGTATTTCAGGGAGGATGAATAAAACTTAATTCAGGCGAGTCTTCCACATAAGGCAAATGTGTTAGGTAAGCCTTTCATGCTGAATCTGGTAATAACATGCCTAGAAATAAAGTTTTGAAAAATAATAAGCAAGTATATCTGATTAAATATACTTTAATTTGCCAACAGTAAGAGGATTATAAAATTATAAAACAATGAAAAATAAAATGCTAAATATGACTAATAGAAAAGAAAACAAAAAGATTTCCCCAAAACATGTTTAGGCATCTATCCCAGTAAATACAAGTAAACAAAGCCAAACCCAAAACTATTCAGGAGGAAAGGAATAACTTAACCTACTATTAAAAGGAGTTCATAGTAGCAGTCACGCATGCCATAAAGGAAGGACCCAGAGGGATCCAACAATTAAAAATGGGGAGCTCTACTTTTTATTTACCCTCTAAAGACTATGCAAAGTATTCGGAAAAGGTCCTGTAGCAGAATACATTTCTTCTTTTAAATAAAAAAGCTCCCTAAATGCAGATATCCAAGCCTTATGCTGTCCAGGAGTTAAAAATTAGTATCATGTGGGCCAACATAGTTGATAAAACACTAACATTATATAATTGTCCTATTAATAACTTAACTTCCAATCAATATATTCTATTTTGTATTAACTGACATTTCCAAGCAGTCTTCAAAGATAACCTCACATCCAATACACTGCAGTAATCTAACCATCACCAAAGCAGCATGTGTATATGTGTATACATGTATGTGTGTGTTTATCTGCAGAACTATTCCTACACAGTGGGTTTTGGGTGAAATAGCAACCAAACTGATAAAAATATATCACTGAGGCCACTGTTGACTCAAGGAACAAGAGTCCAGGAGCACCATTCAATTAAGAGTCTGATTTTTAAAAATCTAGCCCTTTCCAAAAGAGATGGAACATCATAACCTGGATAGAAGACCTTCCCATGAACAGCAGATGCCTAATCTGCACTAAATTCTTTCTTGGCCTTTATCTAATGCTCGAGTACTTATTCAGGATATGTACTTCCTTCAAATGAGTTAAATGAAAAAGAGAAGGGAAGATGAGTGATAGCAGCTCAAGGAATTCCATCGCCATGAAACCACATCAAAGGTGAGGACTGAGCTGCTATCACTCATCCCTTCCCTTCCCTTCCCCCCCCCACAAAAAAATATAAATAAAGCCAGACTGAAGTAGATTTAGAGAATAAACTTTATCCAGATGCATTTAAGGGTTTGTCAGGAAATACTTTCAGATCCATCTTTATGGAAGTAAATATTACTAGCTAGTAACATTTCTTCATCAAGGTATTGTCCAGGTTATATTCAGTTAGGATTAGCATAATTACTGCTGCTTCAAAGAGGCCTCTCTTTAAAAAAAACAAAATAATAATAATTTTAACCAGCTATTCTTTCCTTGTCAGTAGCAATGAGGCAAGACAGGCAAAGAATAATTGAACATGTAAAAAACATTATTTTCTCTATATTAGATCCAGGTCAAATGAATTTAGTACCAACTAAACCAAGTCTATGATTCGTGTAATATCAAAGAAAGTGACATAGAGGACATTACAAAATGACTTTGAGTAATTAACACAGTTAAGACATGCCTTCAGAGTTGTGAACATAATGCCTTGCTCCCCATGTTGGAGATAGGGATCCATGAGGTCCTCAATCAAGTGCACTTCAGACCCCAAATTTCTTATCCTGCCACAAAAAAGAAAAATAGTTATACTAAACAGCATTTATCAATAAGCAAATGCATTACTAGGAGTGTGACAAAAAAATGAGCAGAAAAGGGATGTTTTGAATTTAAAATGTGTTATACTGATTTTGTGGGGAATTTTCCAACACTGTTTTGCCTATTCCAGAATGTTGTTTTGAACTTCCAGTTAAGTTTGGAACAGTTAAAAATGGGATGCATGGAATGTGAAATGGGCCATTTTAACCCAAAATGTTTCAAATTCAAAATATTTGCACACCATTGCAGATTTCATTCATTTCTTTTTATGAAAATATATTATTGAACATCTCTTGTGGCATCAACCACAAAGCAAATTTTCAGGAATAACGATGAATACCTAAACATCAGTATTAAAATCACATAAAGTTATTTATTGTAATTGTATTTCTTCCTAATCAATTTTATAATTGCATTTTGTTTTAGCCTAAGAACCTTTCACTGAAACTCACTTTCTACTGGAAGATTATCACAGGTGTTCAACAATAACTATGTTTTATTCTAAATGTGGGAAAAGCATCACATTTCTTCTCAAAAGAAAAGATACAGCTTTAAGTTTCATTGTATAGTTTCAGTGCCAGAGAGCCTTATGACCTTTTAGAAAATACAATTACTGTATTTAAATAAGATTTTTATTTTCAAGCTAGCCCATTCAGAAGAGGATTAATTAAAATATGTTATGCTAGGATTCCAACAGCATCAGAGTTAATGAATAAAACACAATTGGGTCCCATGGCTTGTATCAGTTAGAACGTGATGGAATAATTGTAGCTACAATTAAAGGATTTAGTGCAGAATTTTACCTACCGGGCTCGTAGCACCACATAGAGAAAAACAGGAAACAAATCATCCATGGACCAAAGGAAATCTTCATGAAGAGACTCAAGAACGCTCTGTGAGATCTCCTCAAATGTCTGCTGGATCACCTTCAACTTGTCAGTAGGTGTAAACGTTGTGCTAGTAGGAAGATATTTATCTTGAGCGTTAAGAGCAAAAATGAGAATTTTCTTTCATTCTCTCAATATTAAATTGAACCTTTCCTCTGATTATTTCAGACACATGAGGGACTACAATATCACTGAAATTCAAGAACAGATCCAAAGTTCTAGACATATTGAGAGGAGGAAGGCCTTCAGAAAGGAAAGTTTCATTTGTATTGGGTGAGTTTCCTTCTTGAAAGAAGTTTTAGGACTTAAACATTCTTATTTTGGAATAAATAGCAAAAGAATGGTTAGAACACTGGGTTCTGGAAAGTTATAAAAGGACTAAGGAGCCAGATGGATTTGCAGTAAGATTTCAGTTACAAAAATCCATCTAAGGGTTTTAAAATTTTTATAAAAAGACCATATATCTTTTTGATTTTCAAACTAAAAGGTCAGAAACCTTTTTGTGGGAAAATGTTGATTAGAATAAGAAACATGTTAACAGGAAACTTTGAAAGTTGGACACTACAGGGAAGCAGAAACAACTATAGTAATAATTAAAGGCAAAGAGACCTACTAATATAGAATACTCTAACTTTGAAAGAATTCAAGGATATTTAGGATGAAATTAGATTTAAGATGGTCTGCTATCATAAAAATATTCTAACTGGAAAAATTCAGGATATTTGGGAACAATGTACCCAGAAATTACTTTTCAGACTGCCTGTTATCATAAAAAGGGACTTAAAAGAGGTGATAGAAGAGGACAACGCAGATATTGAGGCTGCTGTGAATGTGGAATTAAAAATGGCACATTACAAGAACAATATGGAAAAAAGATGTAACATTGGATTTTCAAATGAAATGGCTGTTATCTTAATAATTAAAAGGGACATACAAACAACAAATCAAAATTGGATAACTTTTTTTATTTGAGATTTATAAAAGAAACATGTTAAATTTATGAAGCAGTTTCTGAGAAGAAATAAAGAAAAAATGAAAAGAAATAACTTTTGGGACATTAAAGAGATTAAAAATCAAGATTCTTAAAAGCAAGAGGAAGGAATATAAAGTTGGCTTATTTATCAAGGTTAAAATATGTATGTTGCTGTTTCTGGTAATTCTTAATGGACTTCTGCTGGTTAGGATTGAAGAAAAAGATGTTAATACTTGTTTATAGATGAGGGATAAGATGTAGAATGAAGGTTTTTTTTGTTGTAATATCAGAAAGGAAGACAATTTTTTAAAAATTATTGGTATGTCTTGATGAAGGGATAAGTTTTTTTTATAGATCTTTATTATTTTTTTCTTTTTCTCTGCATCTTTTTTTACTTTTTATATTTTTCTTAGTTTGTATTAGTTTTTTATCTTTGTAATTCTAAACTTTAATAAAAAATATTTTTAAAAATAATGATATTTGTTCTATGGATAGACTGTCAAAAATTTGTTTTGGAAAAAATGGCAGAAGAGGAATACATTTATCTGACAAGACAGAGTTGACACTAAAAATAGATTTATAAATGACAGACTACAAGAATGACATGGAAAGAAGATGACTCATTGGACATACAAAAGTAATTGGTTAATGCTTTAAAAATCAAAAAGGAATGACAAATAATAAAACAAGAGAATGGCCAGGATAATTCTTTTATACTGGATTGATAAAAGAGGTTTGTTAAAGCTTGGATGAATCTTGTGAGAGGGCAAAAAAGAGATGAAAAGAAATAAAGTTCTATGACATTATTCGAATGGATTAAAGATTAATATTGTTATAAGTAAAAGGAAGGCATATAAAGTTGATTTATTTAATCAAGATTAAAATAGATATGTTATTTCTGGCACCCTTAATGGACTTTTGCTGAGACCAGAATTGAAATAACGATGTTTTATGGATTTGTTTATAAATACGAGATGGGACAAGAGGTGAAAAGTTACTAAAATTGTTTATTCATCTTGTGATGAAGGCTAGAAGTTACTTTTTTATTATCTATCTATCTATCTATCTATCTATCTATCTATCTATCTATCTATCTATCTATCTATCTATCTATCTATCTATCTATCTATCTATCTATCTATCTATATCATCTATCTATCTAAAAAAATTAAAAAAAAGGTAATGTGCCAAACTCTGTTTAGCCTATATTTTCTTTTTTCTATATTAAACAATTAACACACAGGTCCTCAAATTCTTATTTAGAATTGATAACAGATATCAAAACAAAAATGTGTAAGTGATGAAACAGTGTGAGATAAATTTATTAAAATTGTGAAGGAGACAGCTTGCGTATATAACGGCAAAGTTGTTAATCACAAGACAAGTCGACCTATTTCCCACTGAAAGGTGGGAAGGTAATTATGCTAATTTTGAAATTACCTGATCTGTTGTAGGCATTCCACTGCAGAAGCAAAACAGGCATCTTTTGTATTTGTTAATACCTAGGCATAAGAATAAAAATTATTAGCTGAGCCCCTGCTGATTGGACCTCCATTGCATTTAAACTGCCCAGAGGTTGCTGGGAAGAGCTACAATCGTGAGTTAAGAAGGAGGAGGGTGGAGGAGGAAAGTAAAACTCCTATAAATAAAACATACCTTTTTATTTTCAGCAGGGACAGATGTTGTTGTTGGCCAAAATTTCCTGTAAGTAGCACCATAACATAAATATGTCACAGAAGATAGATTCTTAAATATAGAATGATTCATTTAGAAAATCAGTCCAAACCACTAGTGTGAAAGATGCAGGTCTGGAAAGAGGCATCTGCATTATTTACAGATACAAATTATCTCTTGACCAAAGATCTCCCAGATCAATAAAGCCCTAATTATCACTGAGATCCAATTTCTGGGTACATAAATGTTCTTCTCAATGCAAAGAGTATCCAATGAAAAAGAAAAAAAATACATAGTGAGTTTACCTATAACATTATAAGTACTTCTAGATCAGACGACATTATATTATCTAGATATTCTTGACAAGGGAAGTTCATGAGGTGGTCTTTCCAGTTGGCTCTTACTCCAAAATATATGGACCACATTAACTTAAAATAACTGCCACCTCTCATCTCCTTTAAAAATGAAGTTTCTTTTAGTGCTCAAAGTAAGCCTATTTGAATGCCAAGTAATTCAAATAATTAATATGACATATAGGAACTTCTTAAGATCGTGATAGTTATTTGTTTCCTACTGGAAATCCTTTAAGGATTGAAGGTGCTTAGTCAAGTAAAACTTTATCTATTTGGAAGGGACAAAAAGGGAATTAAATCTTTTTTCTCTTGCTTAAAGCAATAATTAAAACATAGATCTCACAAGAAAAACTAGCTTTCAACATTTTTTCAACATGTGGAGGCATGCTTACGTTTGCACTCCCAAAAAGCTCAATAGTGCTTTGTCTGGTTGTTTGTTCAAACGCAGAACACATTCCCAGTAAACATCTTCCTCTCGTTCATTGTCCAGGGCATACAGCATAAACAGAGGAGGGTAGAGTCGTGGAAGTAGCACAGGAAGTAATAAGCTAGAGCTTGTAACCACACAACTGAAACACATAAAGAGCAGGGGGGGGGGGAGAAACACCATTTGGGGTATTATTTTGAGGAATTGGTGGCCTATGAACATTAGAATTGATTTGATTCGGACCAACTAATCTTTTCTTAATCAAGAAAACATGTTGAAGAAACAAAAGGGAATGGAAGATCTGAATTTCACTTTTTCCTACTTACTTCAACTCTCTTTCAACAACGATCAATTATTCCTTAAGTTCTTTTTCTGAGTTATTCCTGAAAAGTTTGAATATTTGCAGCACAGGAATGCTTTAACATTTTAACTATATGGAATGAGGCAAAAGTAAAAAGGATGAAGTTTTCTATGCATAGAGGGCATGATGCCTGCTATTAACCAGTTGCACAGCAAAAGGGTTCATCTGGCAGAAATGAAGAAGATTATACTTCTGTGGTTAATACTCTTGCCTTAAAGTAGTCTAAGAAAGAATAACAAGAGGCAAATAAATCTCAGTCTGTTTATTAGTTATGTAAGCTGGCATGTGGTTGAAAAGGGTAAAATACTGGAAAATCTACTGAATCAGAATGTAAGGACCCACTTCAATCCCACATCTTAAGAAAGCAGAATTCTTGGAAACAATTTCTTCCAACAGGAACTTTTATTAAGAGTAGTTGATAGCAGGCATAATATACAGAATCTTAGGGATTCCCTTACAGATCGATACTTTAAAGGGTCCCTAAGCAAACCCCACCCCACAGTTCATCCGGACGGTTCAGACTGGCCAATCCCCAAGTGGTTAGTCCATCATGGGAAAGGAAAGATAACATCAGTCCTTTTGAGACCGGAGAAATAAGCCAGGTTCCGGATGTTTGTACTTCTTTCCCTGCCCCCCTTCTTAACTGCCTGGTTAGGGAGAAGAAAGTTCAGAGAGAGGTATAGTGCAGGGGACAATTTGTTACATTGTAATGGCCAGCAGACCCAGTGGCAATAAACAAAAGGTTACATTGTAGCGAATAGAGGAAGTGAAAGTCATAACCCCGCAGGCATATCCCCCTTCCCCCTTGGGAGTATGGCAGAATCCAGGGGAAGGTGAGATTTGGTTTTAGATCAGAGGAGATAGATAGAAATAAAATATAAATGGATTCTGACACAGAACTTCTCCATTTGAAATATGGAGAAGTTATATGAAATAATCCATTCAAACTTAAACGTTAAATAGATGAAATTCACAGGATTAAATCTATAATAATGTTTTAGCATTATGCATTTGTATTTTCTTGTGATAAAATTACCCTGGCTCTGGAGAGTCAGCTTCGGAGTCCTGTTTTCCAGTACAGAAAGACCGAGTTCCTTTCATCTCAGTCACCAGCGAGGGTATTACACTGCCCTCTTCAGGAAGATCAGGGAACAGGAATCTTAAAAGCAATATAAAGGCATTAGCGTCAAAATGTGTAACTAATAGAAAAATATCCATAAACTTTGAAACAAAATTTTCTTCATCTATTCTTTCTGTAAAATGAATCAACAATTCGAAAGTTGCCTAGTAGCAGCTTCTTACCTGATCAACTGGAAGATGCGTTTCAAATAGGATTTAATCTCCTTCACTGCCTCCTTCAATAGTCGTCGGTTGGCTCCCACTCCCACATACGTCATGCGGTATACAGCTACCAGGGTTTCAACAAGTTTTCCCAAAGGGTGCAGAGGAGTATCACATGCCTAAAAAAGATGGAGATGAAAAAAACCAGAAAGCTATATAAAACAACAGAACTATTTAAGCATTTAAGATGCTTTATTTTAAACAATGTAAGAATAAATAAATTAAAAGTGAAAAAGTATGACCTGTGTATCTCACACAAATAGCTCCTACATTTAGGATTAGTATTTGTGCATTATTATCTGAGATTTATATGATACTTGCAAATAGAGTTAGGGAAGAAACAGTTTTCTTAGAAAATTATTTAACCCAAATTTACATTTTTAGTAAGCATATAATTTTCAAGTTACTATTTTGTATGTATCCTGTCTTACAGATGGGTCTTAATACCCTTTTTCTGTGATCACTAGAATTCTTCTGGCTAGAATTGCTGACAAATAGTGGCCTTAACTTTGATGTTGATGACAATATACAACTCAAACTCTAAAATCTCAAGAAAATACTAATCCCATCCACTTTATATTGTCATCCACCCAACTGCCATCCCATCCCCCATAGGTTCTCCATCCCTATGCAACCGAGCTTCTTTTCCAAGGAAGCCCAAATAATCATGGGAACGTTTTCTATATTTTTGCTAATTAGAAAAGTGTATTATAGATATCATTACAGATAGCAGCCCTTCTTTTACTCTGATTAAGATGTTAGTGAACATCAGCAAGCTGTAAATACCTATTATATAAAAATTGGCTTGCATATACCTTTATGAGGTATTTCTTAATGTTGTCATATTTTTCTAATGAGAAGGCACCGACATGTTGTGGAATGAACTCCAAGCTTTCCAGGGTCTGTGCATGTGATCTGCTCAAGAGTTCTGGACTGCAAGAATAGATGGTTATGATTAGAACCTATACAGAAAAGGGTTGGGAACCAATAAACACAAGAATTTTGCAACTGATAAAATCTAGTAGCTATTAAAAACGGTTTTTCTTTCACAATAGATGCTTTTTCTTTTCTCCACAAATTAACTATAAAACTTTAAAGCTAAAAATGTGTGGGGAAACCTAGAAACACATCAGCATAATCAACTATTAATGTTAAACATTTGGTTCTATAGTCTTGCAATCTCACAGCACAAATGAGATGTGTCACATTCAACCCACATTCACATCCTCAAATGAATCATTATTTTCTAAATTCCATTATTACTGATTTTAAGTGGACAAGTTACATTTCTTTCCTGTATCACTGGCAAGATATTTTTTACCCAAAGCTCTTTAATAGGCAAATAATTATGAGTAGAAAACAACAAATATGTGAAAAAAAGCTCCACAATAGAGTTTCTGACTAATGTATTGACTCTATCAATACCAAATGAATTTAGTACATGGCAGACTAAACAACTTTGTATTAAGTATTAAAAAAGAGATTTAAAAACACTTTTCACGTTACTTATCCATAAATACAAATTGCTTATATTCCAGGATATATACAGATTAACTTCCCCATAACCCAGAGTGTTTTCATCTTTACAAGAAAATAAATGGCAAGTGAACTTTGCATTAGAAGTGTTGTATTGAGCAAAATACATCTGCCCCACCTACTAACCTGTCTTTGTGTTGCCTTCGATTGGTTGTCAGGGCAACAGCAATGTTATCCCAAGCTTTCCACCTATCCCCTTGGCCTGGCTGTTCACAGCCAAGCTGGTGCCAGCAGTCCTCGAACACAGCCCTCCACTTCTCATCCGCCGGAACAGCAAGGCTTCCTAACTTCCGCCTACATATGACAACATTCAACAACAGTAACTGCAGGTTTAACCAAACGAAATGAGCAAGTGTCTGAGAGTCCACCTCTGAAAAGCAGAGGAGAGTTCCTCCCCAAAGCAGACTTCTGGGTACCATGAACAAAATTAACTCTCAATCTACACTAAAACCCTTTAAACAGAAAGAATGAATCAGCATCCCTTCTCCAATCCCTTCTTCCTCAATCCCATAGCACTATGGTCCTAATGGAAGTGTTTAAGCTCTTTCTGTACGCAGCTTGTATTAAGAACCATAACAATTTAATTCACGGTTTCAAAATGAGTAGTCATATTGCAATAAAAACAATTTTTTTTATTATGTAAGTTTTCATGGATCTATTTCAGCAGTTTCTATTATTACTGAAAACCTGCCAACCATAATGTAACTGGGGGTTATGCATTAGCAAGTAATTTTGCACAAATATCAATAAATGTTCCTAAATATTTCAAATAATCACCTGATTCGAGAGTATTACAGATAGCTGCATATATTTTTTATTTAATTGAATTAACATTCCCACAAATTCATATATTTTTTTCTGAATCCTGCGCAAAGAGAAGACAGCAGTCTCGATTCTGCTGATGCTGCAACCAAACTGAGGCTGTGGGAGTAAAACCTTCCTCAGAATCACTGAATAGATAGGCAGCTTTACATCCACAAAGACGTAATGAAGATCCCAGGCTGCTTATGCTAAATTGCAATAACCACCAAGTACGATATCAGATGCTAACCAGTGCAGTTTCTCCAGCATTGGGCCCTATATGATATTACCATGACACAGTTACAGAGTATTTTCTATTGGAATTTAAAGCTTTCAAATGTCTTTAAAGAGACATTTCAATTAAGGGCCTTGCAGGAAACAACCTTGGAAATTTTAAGCACATAGATCATATAGAGCTAATAAAAGTCTTTTTCAGTCCTATTCGTAACCTGTTTTCAAAAGTCATATTAGATACAAAACTTGTCCCAAACTGTCCACCTCATTCTCTGGTCCAATCATCTTAGTTAAGTACACTAGTTTGATTGGGAAAGCACTTGGCATCCGAGCTAATGCTAGTGTTCAATTACAATGAGAAGCTAGCTCCCATCCACTCACAGTGTTTTAGGCCGATCCTTCTCATGATCATATAAAGTGGGTTTGAAGTAGTTTCCTGTAATCTTTATTCCAGATCCCCATTCACCACTGAAAGTGCCTTCAATAGTATCTCCATTTGGCAAAGTCAGTGTTCCCTTAGAAGAAAAGGGGGAAAGAGGAAAAAAATATATAATGAACTTATTTTTAATAAGCTGTTCTGCTTAAGGAAAGCAGACGTTTCAAATTACCTTTCCGTTAAGGGTCCAATTATCTGAAAATTCTCCTTCGTATACGGTGTCATCTTCAGAAAGCAATACACCAGTCCCCTGTGGAGAATATAGTACTGGAATCAGTGCAAGATGTGTTTGGAATGGTTCTCATATTATCTTTGTCCATTATTTAAAATTTACATCTTATTTTTTTTAGATATTTTAGATAAAAGCACTTTTTAAAAAACTTTGTTAAATGGTATGTTAATAAGCTATTTATTATCACTAGAGTCCATTTAATGTAAACAGTTTTCATCACATCTTAATACACTTCACTTAAAATTCTCTGAATGAAAAAAATGACTATTGTATTTACAGACAGTATTTTATAAAGTTACAAAAAACAAATCAATTTATTGAATTAACTTTCTGCAGAGAAAAGAGCCCCTTAACGGTATTGAAAACTCTAGCAAAACAGCTGGGATGGGGAAAGAATAAAATTTCCCCTATTTTTCTTTCCATCTGGTAGATCTTATAAATTCAAATAAACAGATAAAACCTTCAATGCATATATAACTTGGGTCATTTGAAAGCCAAACATTTCACTGCATCATATGGAAACATCTTACTCTAAAGTAGAACTATTCAGGAACAGAACACTGCTGATTAGAAATGTGACTCCAAACTAAAATACTACCTTAAAAAAATAAGTGCAACAATATTATCATATATACATATATTGTCTTTTAAAGGGCAAAACAAGAATGTTTCCCCATTATACAACACTTATTTGTATGAAACTTACCATCATTTTATTGTTGTTAAAGGATCCCTCATAATACAATCCAAACTGTGTGACCACAACACCATTGCCTTGGCAAAAATCATCTTGCCAAATCCCCATGTATTTTTCTCCCCTAAAGATACAGAAAGGCATTACTGTCTCTAAAATCTGAGAAATGAGATCAATTGGGTTAGGTGACATTATAATTTAAGTAACAGTTTATTATAGTTGAGTGTTTGTTTCAACAACTATTAGAATCACATCAGAAATCTGTTATCATCCTTTCAGATTTAAAAACTTGTACTAGGAGTCACAGGCTTTTGTGAATTTTTCACTCTTAAATACAAGACTCGTGATTAGGGGTCTAATGGACACTAAAGGTCATCATGCAGCAGATATTTTATTTCAATCAATTAGAACTAGTATTATATCTTGTTTAGAGGATTATTTAGGTTCTCCGCTTAAGAACAAACATTTCTTAGCAATTCTTTTTCCTGTTACAATATAGTAGTACTATATTACTAATATAGTAGTACTATATTATTAATACAGTAATTCAAATGTTCAGGATCCATTTACCTTGTAATATCATCAAATACTCCATACCCAGCCTTCTTATCCATCACCCATTGGCCGATGAACATGCTAGGTGAAGAAGAAGTCAGTTTCCCACTGCGTAGAAGGCCATGGCCGTGACGCATATTATCCTGGAAGCTTCCTTCATAAACCTCCCCAGTTGCATACCTAGAAGGAAAAAATAAGTCCGCCTTGCGACAAAGAGGCTGAGAATTTTGCTCGAAGGTATTTCACCCTCATAATGCTTTTTTCTCTCTCTCTCTCTAACCAAAAGAGATGAATGATTATTACGTGGGCAATGCCATTTTGATAGGAATGTGGAAACTTAGATGATGAGATTAAGGAAAATATTTCTGGCAATGGATGTTCCTACCATCATGGCACTTAATAAGAAATCTATTTTGTTATGGGTAGTAATTCTGCATCAAAACAGTGTGAAAGGGAAGAGGGAGGAAGGAGGAGTGGTGGTAGTTAGGAGGAGGAAGGTGTGGTAAGTGGAAGAGGGTGGTGCAGGAGGGGGACACCGGACACGTCCTTGAATGTAGTGTTATTTTGTTTTTTGTATGGCTGACATTGTGATAAAGATTTATGTTTTTATGTTTTTTACTGAAAAACTAATAAAAATTTATTTAAAAAAAAACCAAAAAAAAAACCAGTGTGAAAGTCTGGGTACTCCCTGTTCCCCAATCTAAAACAATGTGGGACTGGCAGGTAGACTGTAAAGAGGTGGTTTAAAAGCTGGATCTTCCTATTCTTAGTCCAAAACATAACCACTACGCTGTACGTGCACTCTGTCTTTCTCTATTACCTGTAGATACCGTGTCCACACATTTTGCCTTCCTTCCAAAATCCAATATAATGGTCACTCTTCTTCAGTGTTTTATTTGGTACTTTATATTCGCCATATCTGCCAATATATTAAAAAAATCACACCATTTTACATCTAAACACTAATTTACAAAACTATGCATGCTTCAAGAAAGATTTGGAAGACATACTTCGGTTTTTCTGTAAGCATAGCTTCAATTCAATAAGCAACTGAACTTGAACCTTAAACAAGATTCCATTGTTTTAAGGTGTTCTCCTAAAACCTTTCTGCTTTTGTGAAAGTCTGAAAAGTTGAGCTTCTCTACCAAATAGAGAAGAATTGCTATGCTTACAAGCCCCTGCTTCCAAATAATTTTAAAGCCTGCCCAGCCCTACTAATCCTAATTTGACAGTATTTTTAAAAAAGATTATTCGTGAACAGCAGGTTCCCCCCCCCCCTCGGCTTAGTCTATTATACCTACCCATCTTCCATGCCATTTCTGAACATGCCAGAATACATCTTTCCATCTGCCCATTTCAAGACTCCTCTGAAATATATGGAATGTTATAATTAGATTGGTTCTATATTTAAATCATCACAATACAATGCAGAATTTTTACAGCTTGCAAAAGCAACTGAGCTATGCCAGATTAACTTTTAATGCTCAGAGTGATGACAATGTGGGCTAAGGGTCTTTCAATATATATAACGGTGTCTGTTTCAGCATAAATATAGCTTTTTACATCAACCTTTTTACNTGACCTAGGGAGGATTTTATTTAGGGTGATTTTAAAAATAATTTTAAATAGAGACACAGCTTCTAATATTCGGTTTTTTAATCTGGTTTTACAGGGGTTTGTATTTTTATGCTTTGTATTTGTACTGTTTTTAATACGCTGTGCACCGCCCTGAGTCCTGCGGGAGAAGGGCGGTATATAAATTAAATTAATAATAATATATAAATTAAATTAATAATAATTAATAATAATAATTATACAACACTTATTTGTATGAAACTCACCATCATTTTATTGTTGTTAAAGGATCCCTCATAATACAATCCAAACTGTGTGACCACAACACCATTGCCTTGGCAAAAATCATCTTGCCAAATCCCCATGTATTTTTCTCCCCTAAAGATACAGAAAGGCATTACTGTCTCTAAAATCTGAGAAATGAGATCATCAGAAATCTGTTATCATCCTTTCAGATTTAAAAACTTGTACTAGGAGTCACAGGCTTTTGTGAATTTTTCACTCTTAAATACAAGACTCGTGATTAGGGGTCTAATGGACACTAAAGGTCATCATGCAGCTGATATTTTATTTCAATCAATTAGAACTAGTATTATATCTTGTTTAGAGGATTATTTAGGTTCTCCGCTTAAGAACAAACATTTCTTAGCAATTCTTTTTCCTGTTACAATATAGTAGTACTATATTACTAATATAGTAGTACTATATTATTAATATAGTAATTCAAATGTTCAGGATCCATTTACCTTGTAATATCATCAAATACTCCATACCCAGCCTTCTTATCCATCACCCATTGGCCGATGAACATGCTAGGTGAAGAAGAAGTCAGTTTCCCACTGCGTAGAAGGCCATGGCCGTGACGCATATTATCCTGGAAGCTTCCTTCATAAACCTCCCCAGTTGCATACCTAGAAGGAAAAAATAAGTCCACCTTGCGACAAAGAGGCTGAGAATTTTGCTCGAAGATATTTCACCCTCATAATGCTTTTCTCTCTCTCTCTCTCTCTCTCTAACCAAAAGAGATGAATGATTATTACGTGGGCAATGCCATTTTGATAGGAATGTGGAAACTTAGATGATGAGATTAAGGAAAATATTTCTGGCAATGGATGTTCCCACCATCATGGCACTTATAAGAAATCTGTTTTGTTATGGATATAATTCTGCATCAAAACAGTGTGAAAGTCTGGGTACTCCCTGTTCCCCAATCTAAAACAATGTGGGACTGGCAGGTAGACTATAAACAGGTGGTTTAAAAGCTGGATCTTCCTATTCTTAGTCCAAAACATAACCACTACGCTGTACGTGCACTCTGTCTTTCTCTATTACCTGTAGATACCGTGTCCACACATTTTGCCTTCCTTCCAAAATCCAATATAATGGTCACTCTTCTTCAGTGTTTTATTTGGTACTTTATATTCGCCATATCTGCCAATATATTAAAAAAAAATCACACCATTTTACATCTAAACACTAATTTGCAAAACCATGCATGCTTCAAGAAAGATTTGGAAGACATACTTCGGTTTTTCTGTAAGCATAGCTTCAATTCAATAAGCAATTGAACTTGAGCCTTAAAGAAGATTCCATTGTTTTAAGATGTTCTCCTAAAACCTTTCTGCTTTTGTGAAAGTCTGAAAAGTTGAGCTTCTCTACCAAATAGAGAAGCTATGCTTACAAATCCCTGCTTCCAAATAATTTTAAAGCCTGCCCAGCCCTACTAATCCTAATTTGACAGTATTTTTAAAAAAGATTATTTGTGAACAGCAGGTTTCCCCCCTCCCTCGGCTTAGTCTATTATACCTACCCATCTTCCATGCCATTTCTGAACATGCCAGAATACATCTTTCCATCTGCCCACTTCAAGACTCCTCTGAAATATACGGAATGTTATAATTAGATTGGTTCTATATTTAAATCATCACAATACAATGCAGAATTTTTACAGCTTGCAAAAGCAACTGAGCTATGCCAGATTAACTTTTAATGCTCAGAGTGATGACAATGTGGGCTAAGGGTCTTTCAATATATATAACGGTGTCTGTTTCAGCATAAATATAGCTTTTTACATCAACCTTTTTAC